GTAATGTTTAGCAAGATACTATTGCAAATCATCGCTACTATACGCCCCACATTTGTGTCCTTATTCCAAACAAACTCTGAATATAATGTAAGAGGGACAGGTTGTCGTGGTGTAATGTTTAGTAAATTTATCTCACAGATCATTAAAACTCAATATGACGTTTGTTTCTAACTGTGTGACCCATACTTGTGATGCTGAGTCAAAAAGAAGATATAATATAAAACTTTCGTACTTGTCTCAAAAAATTAATCTTTCCAACTTTCAAACACAAGAGCATTAATCAGTTTTTAGTGTATACATGAATAATAAAGAAAGAATTTGGTCAGAAAAAATCGTAGTTTAAGTGAATTTTAAAGATTCATTAGGATTATTTGATTTAGCAGTTGAATATTTTATAAAGTTGCTGGCGAATTTATATATATTGTTCTTGTTCCTAATAGTTATCAATTATTAACTTTTGTGATTATTCTATTCAGCAACCTTCCCTAGGCTACAAATATTTTGACGACGAGGATGGGATAAAATGTTACCTAGGGAGGATTACTGAATAGAATTATCGCACAAATGTTGGTAATGAACGATAATACTTAGGATACGAACAACACATATAAGATTCGCCAGTGGCACATAAAAAGAAGTATTCAACTGCTAGAAATGAGTCAATGAATGGGAACATTATCGTCTGTAGGTATACTACAACATATATATATATATATATATATATATATATATATATATATATATATATATATATTATTTTTTGTTTAAAATATGATTCCTTCGCTACGTAAGAGTTTTCACAGTTTCGAAAAAACGACAGCCGAAACCATCCAGATAATTATTGAAATTGTTGAATTGAGGTATTTTGTCCTGTTTCATCTTCAAGCGAAATTTTAGGAATAAGCTATCTCTTGGTTTACGTCTGTTTTTAGGCATGGTCCGTTATAACATTCGTTATTGTGGGAGTGGGAGTGGCTAGGCTAGTTTTCTTCGTTAAGTGGTCAGAGAGTTAATTCTTATCTATAGATTTATCATCTTCTGAGAGGTTTTGCTAAGGTTTGGTAGGGTATCTATTTCAAGGCTAATGTTGGCGGTCATCCTCTAGTTAGTTCCCAGTGAGGGATATTTTTATGGCGCGCCTACAAGTCGTTATGTGTCGGGAGGATTGTGTTTTATTATTGTCTATCTGATTATCTATTTATTTATTTGTTGATTCAATTGGGTGTTTTATATACAAACCGTATTGCACTGAATTTCAATTTGTTTTTTGACAACTACAGAAAGGGTTTTTCCTATTTAATGATTTGGCTCAGCTTTTAAGACTTTTATTAAACTATAGGATTTTTTTTATGCTAATTATTTAATGCGATGGCACAATACTGAGTTTCAAGCACAATGCAGTCGTCAGGTTCGGATTGAATACCGTGCGTTGTAAAAGTAAAATTTTCATATTTATAACCTATTGTTAGGTGTTAGGGTGATGTTCTAAAAATAGCTTAATTGTGACACTAGGCTGAAAGTATCTATTCAGTCGTCATTTTTCTAGCGAGACAACCTTTCTAACAATTACACTATGTGGAAGTGCCCGTATGTGGTACTATGTGGAAGTGCCCATGGCTTACTGTTATGGCTGCTGATGTACCTATTTATTTCCGAGAAGACACATTCTTTACACTTACATATATATAAAGACAGACCTCTAAATATAATTTAAATACAAACGTACACACCTTATACATATTTTCAAATATAATACACAGGCACGCAAAAATGTCATTCACAAATCAACATAAGCAGGTTGATATATATTTCCATATTAGCATTGTTACACGTAGGTACATACAAATATGTTATTACAAATTATACCTACATATTGACATGTACACAACTACATGCATGTAAAAATATAATGCACATACACATAAATAAGTATGCATCCATATATATCTATCCATAAATCTCAATATAAAGGGTGTTCCAATAACTTGGTCCGATTTTAAATATGAATTAAGTTTAAGCGTTTAATAAATTTTTTTCTTTCACATTTGGCGGATATTTGGGCGATATTATTTTTCACTCAGAATTGCCATGACTTAAATAAAAGGATCCAATAGATAAATGAATAAATTTTCACCAATAACACTGATTTATTTACTGCTGACTTTGATCCATGTTAATGAAACATCATTTATATATACACTTACATGCATCCAAATACAAACCTATTAATACATAGCCATGCAACAAATGCATACATATCCAAGTTCAAAATATTAAAAAATGCATTAATATATATATATACATATTGCAACAAGTATTTTTATAGAAACAAAAATGTACTGCACAGTGGAATCATATATATATATATATATATATATATATATATATATATATATATATATATATATATATATTAAAGAAAAACAGATCACTTTAAGGTACCATTAAAATAATTTATTTCACCAGAGCCCTTTTAGAGGACGCCGGATCATCAGACAGATTTAATGTTTCATAAACCTTTTTGTTTCCGCATGATTAAAGCATATACTTGTGTATACAAGAAGTGCCTAACATTGATTAATATGTTCTGAAGAGAGAAAAAATCTGACGAGTTGGGTGCCTGAAATTTTACGTTATAATAATGAACAAAAGTTAAAAGGTTAATAATTTAAAAGATAATTTTGGGAAACAGCCGTAAGCAAAAATGTTGCATTTAACGATTAAAATCTTGGATCAAAAATCGAATAGATGATAACGCTATTCAAACACTTTACATGAATTTTCCAGAATGTATTGACCTTGCATAAAAACTGCAAAGGTTAAGCAAAATAAATAAAATAAAATAAAACAAAATAAATAAATAAAATAAAATAATCAAAAGCCTGGTGTTTGTAGTTTTTAACGCGTTCAGCGAAAAAAGAAATTAATTAAAATTTTATACCACGTGAATTGTTAAGCGTTAACCATCCCAGTTTTGAAATTTGTGGTTGTTTTTTTATTTATTTAAACCTCCATATACTACTATGAATAATATCTACTTTCCATCGACGCTCTTTAGTCATAACTAATAAAAAGCATCATAAAAATGCAGAGGCGTCGAACATATTAATTAGCTACACTTACCCATCCGTATCTATCTATCTATCTATCTATCTATCTATCTATCTATCTATCTATCTATCTCTGTTCACATCTATCGCCTTTTTCCAATAGGTGAACAATCCGCTATAAAAAGATCCAAAGCAAGGCAACCTGGGCTAACATTTCTCAGAAACACTTGGATTCCAGGTGAAAACTTCACGATTATGATTTAAATATTAGTCAAAAAGGAGTTGAGAAAGAATCATAATCTGAAAAAAAAAATCTACTCTCTACACTAATTACTATCTTTCTCCCTCTCTCCACACACGCACATACATGCATACACATATATAAGTATATATATATATATATATATATATATATATTGAACAGTAAGAAAATAAAAAAAATTAAAATCTTTAGACACCCTGGGTTGTAGATTAATATTCTTTCGTTTTTTTTATTATTATTTCATTTAGATTCCTCGACTAGTTTCGACCAACATGGCCATCATCGGGAGGAGAAATATTTCTGCTTGCTGGTAGCAGTGAATTACAGAAATGAATGTCTTTTGCTGGAGAAATGTATGTGTGTGTGTGTGTGTGTGTGTGTGTGTGTGTGTGTGTGTGTGTGTGTGTGTGTATGTTTGTGTGTGTGATTCAAGGAAATACGACATCGAATTGAAAAAATAGATTTACTTAATATTTCCTAAGAGGTTCTAAGTACTCGGCAATGTGATTTCAGGTGTATTGTCCCTGGTTATTCCTGACTGTAATTTAAGCTGTCTTATTCACGTGAACACAGTATGGGGGGAAATACACACCTGAAGGCATCGTGATACTCAGTATTAATGCATCAACTCCCATAAAGATTAATATCAACATGGATTAAGATTCGTATGCAAGTTTCCCATGTTAAACGATCAAAAATGTTTTGCTGTCAACAGGTTATTTTTTGTGTATTTGATTTAAGTTTCAAAATAGGAAGAGTTAGTCATAAGAAGAGGACGAAAACTATCGAAATGTTACAAAGAATAAGTTAACGTGACGCTGAGGAGGAACTTTGAATATCAAGGCATGGCGTCCAATTCTTTTTTTTTTTATAGATAAAATGCATTGTTATTTTTCTATAAAAAATGTATTGTTGTTAATTCCACTATAAAATGAATTGCTGGTCATTTTGACTTATAAAAGTATTATTCGTAATTTGTTTTGTTTAAAAATACATATTATATTGAAAATATCAGCTATACATTTTTATACTTTCATAGTGCTTTTTTTTTTTTACCCTATAGTTTTGACCCTAGTAGGTGCTACCACTCCGGGTCAGAGTAGACCTTGTAACAATGGTAATTAAGATGATAGTCCTTGCTGCCGGATACAGTTTATCGTCATACCCAGGACAAGTAAAATTCAGTGGTGGGCGGTTAATTGTTTGAGGCTACATCAAAAGTAATGGCCATCCTGGATAAGACGATAGACTACATCAGACAGCAGGACTTCTGATCAGAAGATTTGGGGGAGCGTGGAACGACCTCTTAATTGCTGGAGTCCCCAGGACCACCCTGAACCGGGGACGTTGCATAGTTGTCCTCACGCTGAGTAGGCTGGTCGTGAGTTGTCCTGCAGTTGACTTGCCACGGATATGAGTTGGCCGGTGTTGAATCGGTGGTGTTGAGTTGTTGGTGATGAATCGTCCTGAACACCTCGTAATTGTGTATGTATGTCTGTTTTGTAATAGAAGTTCTAATGTTTTCGCCTTTGTGCGATCATCCAGCGCATCCCGCTCTAACCTGGGACTGAAGTTTTGAAGAACGTACTTTTTGTATTAGATAGATATAATTTAGATTCTTTAAAAATATATTCAAAGAAAAATGGCGATGTTTAGGTGTGTTTTTATAGTTGGTAATAAAGTTATTATTAGGCTTTCAAAGTGTTAGATAGATAGATAGATAGATAGATAGATAGATAGATAGATAGATAGATATGAATAGGCTTAGCTCGCCAAAAAGCTTAATGGAGATATATAAAGCAAAGTGTTATTGTATAAAAGAATAAGAAATTATTTTATGAAAAGAAACATTTTTCAAGATAAATATTTCCTTTCTAAATACACTTAACCTATCATCCCTACATTATTCACACAGATCGAACATTATTGAGTGGAAAGATCAACTAACCAGGTAATAACTATGCAAGCCTACGAACTTATTGATACCCATTAATATAAAAAAAATCGGTAGATAGATAGATAGATAGATAGATAGATAGATAGATAGATAGATAGATAGATAGATAGATGTGAACAGACTGGGGTCGATAGATAATGAACGTGATAGCTAGCTAGCTTGCTAGCTATATCGATAGATAGATGGATAGGTAAGAACATACCGAGATATATAAATAATGAGCGTGAGAGATAGCTAAATAGATACGAACTGACTGAGATCGATACATAGATAATGAACAAGATAGATAGATAGATAGATAGATAGATAGATAGATAGATAGATAGATAGATAGCAGATTGATATGGATTTTTACAGATGAAGAGAAAGAAAGATCCATAGGCTGTGAGAAGGGTGGAGGGAGAAAAAGTGAGATAAACAAAAGCATATTTGTAGTGAGGGAAAAGAAAATGTGGATGGAAGCATAAAATAGATAAAACAATAAACAAATACCTAGATGTGGGCATCGTTGGTAGATAGACAAACACATAAACGCTCAGATATTTCTATCGATGCAGATAAATAGACAGACATATATAAACATAACATATATAAACATAACAAAACCACTGTAGATTAAATCGCTTTTTTCATCACAATGTTTACAAGTGGAAGAACCTAACGTCAGCTAAAGAATGGTACAATTATATCGAGCCAATCTCTTCGGCGATGAGGCCCTGTCACCTTTGGAAATCAATGTTCTAGATGAAGCAACTTGGATTTGCACCTTGATTACTGGCGCCATTTACTTGATGTAATTATAAGACTGTAAGAAAATTCCTCCGAAAAAAAAATGGAGATTTTCTGAAGTCCCTAATATGATAAAAAACATAATATGCCAAAGACCAGTGCATATGTCTAATTAATATCGTAAATATACTGAAAATTTCATTACTAATGTATGATCCCTCTGGTTGGAAAAATGTGCAAACACTATGTACAGAGGCGCTAATATAACTAGAATAACAGAAGGCTACAATGACTTCTTTGTATGCTTTTTGAAAGAGCCTTGCATCGAGAGTATGCCTTTTCGGTATTATTTCTTCCTGAAATATATGTTCGCAAATATATTGCTGCAAGTCAAAAATTGAGAACCGCGATTTCCGGATTGGGATGAAGTGGGAAGTCTTAGAAAAAGAAGGGTAAACTCTAATGGAATATGCCAAGTGAAGACGGAAGTAAGGAATTAAAGATATGGCTGGAAAGTGTTGAAATATAGTGGAAGAAGGAAGCGATGGGTTTTTATAATGTGACAAAGTAGATTAAGTAAAAAGGCCAAAAAGAAGAGAAAACAATAATAAAACAAATAACGTATGAGTGAGATAGAAAGAGAGAAAAGAGCTACGATGGCAAATACACATAAGCCAAGAAAAGTAAAAGAATGGCAGTTGTTTTTTTTTCCCTTTTCAATTTTATATCCTTTACCTTACATCTTATCGGCAGTTCTTTTGATCTGTTATCCTTTCCATTGGCTTTGAATAAATACACAAGTCGCGGCGAATCGTTGACCGAAGTCCTTGCAAAAGATACGGTTGTCTCTTGTGAGGTGATCTTATTAAGAGGGAATGGCTGTGATTCATACAACTCTTCAGCGAATTTGTGAACCCTCAAAAATCTTTTTAATTTTGCAGAGCGGCCTTTCGTAATATCTCGGTAGTTTTTCTTTCATTTCGTTTACACTCATCTTTTGTACAGTTTTAGTTTTCACAATTTCTCATTATCTCTGTCTCTTGTCTGTATATATATATATATATATATATATATATATATATATATATATATATATATATATATATATATATATATATATATGTCTTATACTGGTATAATAACAAAATTGTCCAAATCGTGTAATAGCAAATTTGTCCAATTGTTAGATTAAGCGTTGTTGTTCCTTACAATTAATTGATTAAAGATATCTTACTGGAATTGTCCGAGGTTTTTATAACACTATTGGACTCTGAGCAATACGAATGTATAATTGTCACAAGATTAACCGAATCGTGCTGAAATCTATCATAAACGAAAATATAAGCACTAAGTTGAACTGATAATCCTTCTTCCTGTTGTGGTCACTTGAACCAAATTTCCTCTCTTGTGTTCCCTTTTTTGTAAACTTATTCACCATTCTCTTGATGGCTCTTGAATGGATAAGGTGGAAGCCAGAGTATGAATGTTGGTACGTTTACAGGGGCGCTGAATGATTTTTCCTCTCACCATTGCTCAGTTGATAAGACAGTGGGCCTGGCACAAAACGATTTTAACCTGTTTTATTTCTAGCTGAATAACTCAAACGGTTTTACAGTGATTCCTACGATGTCTAAAAAGTTTTATCTGAAAAGAAACTCATTTTGTATAGTGTTTTTAGTTAATAAACCCTTTGTGGGATGGCCAATATGTTTTTTACATGATTTGGACTTTTTGGTGTTACACCTAGTATATATATATATATATATATATATATATATATATATATATATCTTTGTTTGTCGTCAGTTTGCTCATTGTTATTTTTGTGTTTCGATGCGTATCAAATTCATTTGATACGCTTATATAAACACGGCTTCAATCGTGTGGCGATTTTGACAAGTTTTTGATGTAATATCCTAAAATAAATAATATTGTTCTACTTTGTATTGAGCTCACTTTTAAATTAATCTTACGAACGTTGGATTTTTTCCTCATCTTATATATATATATATATATATATATATATATATATATATAATTCATACAAAAAGTAAATTAGTAAAGTTAATTATATACAACAGGAAATACCTTCCCTAACAAAATTTTAAAGACACAATAACACGATGAATGTAATATCCTTGTTTTTTTAAAATTATAAGCTGTATTAGGTCTTCCATAAATACGCAAGTACTTTCGACTGTACATTCAGTCATCTTCAGGCGTGGAAATTATTTTGTTTTTGGTAAAATTCAGGTAGCATCCGAGAAGAAAAATATAATGCGAATCGAAATATGTTTTTTTTTTAATGTGTTATTGATAACATGTACAAACGTTTGTAGCGTGCAGTCGTAACGCTAATTTTGAAATTTTTTGAAAATTTAAGTGAGTGCGTTTTTTCACTAATATGGCAATTGGAGAATTTTTTTGTTGTAGGAGTTTATCAGTCAATTTGGCATGAACTAAATGGTACAATAAGTAGAGTAATGAATTTTACCAATAACAAAATAATTTCCATGCCTGAAGATGACTAAGTGTACAGTCAAATTTAAGGAAGACCTAATACAGCTTATAATTAAAAAGAAAAAGAAAAAAAAGGATCATCTTGTGATTGGTAGGCTAATGCATCTTTAAAATTTTGTTAGCGAAGGGATTTGGCCATTTTATATCATTAACTTTACTTTTTGTATTAATGATTCATTGTAATATAAATTGTACTGCACCACATATTTGATATATATATATATATATATATATATATATATATATATATATATATATATATATATATATATATAGGGAGAGAGAGATACTGTGTGGACGTATGGATCATCACTACAAGTTGACTGTCAGTTTTACGCTTTTAAGCTTTCTTCACGGTAATATACACATATCAGATTTTACTTTGCAATTAAATATTTAAGCAATAAAATTGGTATTAAGTCAGATGCTGTTAAAATGTTCATGAAACGCTGATAAATTATAATAACTACTCTTTTCTGAGTCTGCCCATTTACCAGAGTAGCGAGCAAATTCCTGTTGCTGACTTCTGCTTAGAAACATTTGTCTGACCAACTCTCACAGATCAAAACCTGTATATTGTGTTGCAAATCTGGTGAGCAAAGTTACAGTTTCCTTAGGAGAGTGCAAAATCTGGCGTGCTGAAGTTGAACAAGGACAATACCATCAACACTTCGGTCACGATGATTAGGATTTCGTGCCCAAGGCTTTTGTCAAACCGTGTTATGATTTTCAGGCACGTCCCAACGATGCCACCTGCCGAGATCATCAACTCCTCTACAAATCGAACTTTGGTAAGACTGAAACATGAGCTTCATGGTCGGATCGATAACATTCTAATCACACGTCCCGTGTCATTATATAATATATATATGTTAATTTAATTTTATATTTCATTTTCTTAGATTTCTTTAGTAGTATTATATTATATTATCCGACACTGGTATTAGTTATATCATATTGTAAATAAATGTATATAATAATATTATTAATCATATTTATTTTGTAATTTCACATACATAGAAATTGCCATGGGTTGTAAGAAGGATTTAACCTTGAAAAGTGAAAGAAGGTATTGTACAGTTATTGGTTGACAGGCGTATAATACTATAAACATCGAAAACATTGAACATAGCAATTAGAAACTTTAACAAAATAATAAGAAATACTGGCTTTAAAATGATTTGAAGGCAATAGGATAATCATCCAGAAAATTGGATTGATCAACACGTATATATTTAAAAAAGAACAATACAAAAAACAACGACTTGTATTTCAAATGTAATCAGATAGAATAGAAGTCGAATAGAAATTCATTGGCTAAAGGCATAAAAACTACAAAATTCTAACCTTAAATATCAAAAACAATTCGAAATCCAGGAACATGGCGTCTATTTCAACTACATATTCATTGCTTTCATAAGTTTGTATAATCCCAGTTTTTTTTAATATAAATTTGTGTAACATATCGAAACTTGTTAACATCAACTTTTTTCAATCGAAAATACATTCACTTTCAATAATTTTAAGGATTTTCGAATGTTCCTTTGTAATAAAACCTGGTATAAGGTATCAAAAACAATCTAAAATCAAGGGACAATGTGTCTATTTCAACTACATTTTCATTTTTTTTTTCATAAGTTTGTAAGAATTACAAGAATATTGATTTCCTAACGGTCATTCTTGTGATGAATATCGAGCTACATTGGAGGGTAGCCAGAGGTTGGGTCCTACATCGAAATATCAACCCGTATGATTAAAAGAAAATAGTTGAAAGTTTCAGTTGTTTGGGGAACCAGTATTGCAATTGTAATAATTTTCTAATTAGCGGATTGTTTCAAAGATAAATGCTAAAACTTATTGTCATTTTTTTGGACAATAATTTATTTGTCATGCAGGTTAAGACCAAGAAACGTTAACGCAAGGGGCATATACAGGTAAGACAGTGATTCTTCACATTTCCTACATTGCGAAGAAAAATTACAATCTAACAGAATAAGACGCAACCTTCCCAAAAGAAAATTCGTGGACCATCATTAAAAGAGATGTCTATATGAATAGAAGTTTATATCCAAGCAAAAGCGATTTCTGTAAATCATTTAAAACTACTTAAGTTGATTTGTTTTTGTTTTTTTATATATCACTTTTCCTCGTAAATATAACACATTTCAAACAAATATATATTCTTTTGAAATGTGGTATACATATATATATATATATATATATATATATATATATATATATATATATATATATATATATATATATATATGTACGTATGTA